ATATATATATACTTGTATAAAGAAATAATAATGGGTTCCAACACAGGAGTGAGTGGATTTTGAATTCCTCCAGAAGTCGAAATTTGTGAAATTCGAATATTGTTATAGTGACTGCATTAAGCTTTCAAAACAATCTGATAGTACTACGTTGAAAACAAACTGAATAAAATATACTTTTACAGCTTTTATTTAGTATCTGTATATAATTGAAGAAGAAATATGTGGTAGACATCATTGAAAATAATAACTGATGCCTAGTTGTTTTTGTCAAGTGCAAGTGGATTTGAATAATTATTCATTCATTAAACAACATTTATTTCCGTAAATGTTAAACAATATTTATAGTAAATGATTATTATAACAGGAATATATGTAAATAAATTAATAATATGAAAAACGGTTAACTAGGATCTTTAATGGCAGATAAAAATATCTTTTCACGTAGGATACACACAGAAACAACATAATTTAAATAAAAACATTAAAAAGGCAAATTATACGCCATGCTTAAAATATTGGAACCACGCTTCAAAAAAATATTAATGCAAATGCAAGTTTAATATTAACAGACTTAGCGTGTCACTTGTTATGCACTAAAATAACAATTGTTTGTATCCACCCTTTAGAATTGTGTGCACCACCCTTTAAATTTTGAGGACATTTTCTGAAATTTCACCATTCTTTAAAAATCCTGGTGAAAGGGTTGCCATGGGGAACATAAGACAATGAAGAGGGTGAAAACAGTTCCATAATATAAAAAAAAATACTGTTCCTAAAGGTAAAATTTGACAATGTTAATGAGAACCTCAGACGACAAAAGAATTCCCCTTAAAATATGTTTTAAATGTAGTAGTAGTATCCGACGGCAAGCAATCAAGAAAAAAACTAAAATGGAACAACTCTCTCGACACGAAATGTTTAGTGTATCATACAAACGTACGAACTGACCACAAGCAATCAAGACAAGACTAGACAAGAACGACTCGCTCGACACGAAAATTTTAGTTTATTGTTAGTTTATTTACAAACATTCAAATACCTCTGACCGCAAGCAATCAAGGAAAGACTAGACAAGAACAAACCCGCGCGACACGAAAAGTTTAGCGTATTATACAAACGAGACCGCTACACAACAGCCTTTGCTTCGAGATTTGAGCATGAAGGCAAGGCAAAAGCAGCTTTCTTAGCTACGTTTTTTGTCCGCTGATTGGTTAAAAAACGTATTTCATTTTTATTTTATCACTAAAAAACAACTACTGTAAAATGTTTAGCCCATAAATGTGATGTGTGTGAAGAAATCATTAAACAATATTTTAATTTGGACCTTCAAAAAGCAGTAAAAAGAAATTACTATGAAATTTTAGGGGGGGCTAAAGCCTGTTTAGCCCCCTCTAAATCCGCCCCTGCTATTTGGGTCCCGGTCGTCCAATAATTTACTTAAGAATTTATGAAATATTTGAATAGGCCTATGCTATTAATAAATGGTGCAACAATTTGAATATAATTCTCTATATTTAAAAAATCAATCTGTCACTGGTTATGATACTGTATATGTCCTACAGTCAATGCCAGAGACACATTATGGTACTCTGTATCAACAAAGCTTTTTTAGGTCAGGGTGCTAGATCGAGGACCCCTGTGGTTCGGGGCACACGAGAGCGCATAGCGTTACACCACTGACAATATGCACCTGATCCCACGGGCTGGGACTCAGGTACGACAATTTTAAGGATTTGAGACTTTCAGATGCCGGAAATTGGCACTTTGATATATAAAATTGACGAAAATTACTAGGCCTCTATCGACCTAAGCCCCATCATGGTTGAGGCTGAGGTGAGAACATTTTAAGAATTGGGGACTTTAATAATTAAAATTTATGTCAGTTATTTTTTAAGATTTAAAAATATGCATTTTAATTTTTTTCAACCTCTGAAGGGGGTTGCTCAGGCACCTAGAGAACCCCTGCCCCCCCCCCTCCACCTTTCTTGGTAAGCCACAGTCTTGCAGAATGCAAAATAGACCATACAGTACATATTCCCTTACGATTTCAAAGTTACTTATTTATAAAGTGATTACTCCAAATTTGGAGTGTCTGGGGCCACCACAAAAACTCAAATCTCGAGGTTTTTGCGTATCGCGTACGCAAAACCTATGTTAAATGCAGGGCCGGCGGAACGTTTTTCAAAGTGGTGGGGGGGGGGGGCACTTATAAGCAGGCGCGGAACAGGGGGCTTGGGTCAATTCATAGGCCTATTCTTTCACCATCATTACACATTGAGGCCCTTCTTTTAGGTAAAACGATCTATCTTAAATTTTCTTTCTCAAGTTTTTGACTATTATGTTTTTAAATAACTTAGAAGGCAAAGAAGGGCAAGCACAAGCTTTAACCCTAAGAAATGCTCAAAAAATTTTTGTGTTTTTAATTCAAATTTCGTCGGAATTGATCAAAACTCCTTAAAATGTGCAATTTTTAGAGGAAATTGGCCTACCTCAACAAGAAATGCTCTTATGTTATATATGGCCACACTCGTTTTTTAAAACTGAATATAAGCATTTTCCTTATTGCTTTATTTATTACAAACATATTCTTTCAACACCATTACACATTGAGGCCCTTCTTTTAGGTAAAACGATCTATCTTAAATTTTCTTTCTTGAGTTTGGGTCTATGTGTTATAACTTAGAAAGGCAAAGGAGAGCAAGCTCAATTTTTAACAAGAAAAAATGGGCGCGAAGCGCGCGAAAAATTTGTGTGTTTTTTAATTCTAATTTCGTCGGAATTGATCAAAACTCCCTAAAATGTGCAATTTTTTAGAGGAAATTGGCCTACCTCAACAAAATATGCGATTTAAAATTTGAGATTTTCAGGAATTTTCTCGGATGAAAAGGGCATTCAATGGGGAAAGATTTTCCACTGATGGATATTTTCCCCTTGTCCCCGGTGGTTACGCCACTGCGGAGAATACCTGGCGACTTAGATCAAATGTGATATGGACACTTTTTGAAGTGGAGAAGGGGTGTCAGGCCGGGGTATTGTGATATCTGTTCATTATATCTTCCTTTTTATTCTTGTCTTTATTTTTCTCTTCTCCTTTTCTTTTCCTTTTTCTTTCCCCTTCTTTCTTTTTGCCTCCCGCTCTCCCCTCTTTCTTCTCTCTTCTTACCCAGCCCGGTACGACGGCTTGGTCAGGTCAGCCCGGTAAAAACCGACAGTCTGCCCCCCCCCCGCGACCCCCTGCCTGTTACGCCACTGCTTATATAAGATGAATGGGAATATGAATCATGCAGATCTGCAATCAAATCTAGGTGGTGGGGTCAACATTCCTCTCCCGGGAAAATTTTGATTTCTAGATGGCGGGAAATGACCTTTCTCGACTTTTGAGCTAGGTGTCTAATTCAAGGTTTTCCCCCTCATGATCGAAAACGGTACGGTAAGGTAAACTTTCTCATTACAGTAAATAGGCCTGTTATGTGTGTATACATACATTTAAAAAAAAAATTGAGTAGTTGCATACGATTTTTTCCATGAGATGAATCCCAAAAAGAAAGGAAGGGACACCTTGAATTTTGAAGAACTTAAAAGTAATTAAGTTCTTCAAAATTAAAGGTTTTCCACTCTTGAAAACGGTCAGATCATTTTTCCCATTGTTATTACAGTAAATAGGCCTTATGTGTGTATACATACATAAAACAAGATTGAGTAAGTTGCATACGTAGTTTTTCCATGAATCGATAAATCCCAAAAAGAAGGGGGGGGGGGCATTTTGAAGTGTGTTTTAATGAATGTTATGTTCTTAAAAATTCGAATTTTCTAATAGCAAAAAAAAAAATAAAAAAATAAAAAAAGATCCGCCAATATGAATTGCGAGAAAATGTAACTCGGTCGGGTACTGGATACACATTCTCTTTCCC